GTTAATAGAGCCTTAGTAGGACTTATTAACGTCTACCTAATAGTATATCTTAATAATATACTAATCTTCTTAAAGGACGAGGAGACCTATATATACTACGTTTAAGAAGTGCTAGAACACTTAATTAAGTAGAGGTTATTTATTAAACCTAATAAATATACGTTCTATATAGAGAGGGTTAACTTCTTAGGCTTTATTATTTCCCGCTATAGAGTTACTATAGACCCTACCTAAGTAAAAACGATAAGCTAATAGCTAGAGCCGACCTATATTTTTAATATATAGTAGTTCGTAAGCTTCGCTAACTTCTACTAATATTTTATTAGAAAATAGTTAATAATTAACGCCCCCCTTAACGATCTAATTAAGGGGCTAAACGTATAAAAGAAGGGGAAGAAATAAGCGCTAGGAAGGGTTCGTCTTTATAGAAGAAACGCGAGAAGCTTTTAAAAGGACTAAGACCGCTTTCTAGACTATACTAATACTCGTATACTTTAATATTACGTTAAAAACTATAATAGAAATAGATATATTAAGAGCCGCTATCTACGTAATTATATTATAGCTCTATAAAGATAGATACTAATACCCTATCGCCTTCTACTCCCGGAAGATACTAGTAATAGAGAGAAATTACTAGGTTAGCGACTAAGAAATACTAATAATCTTTATAGAGTTTAAGAAATAGTATTACTTCCTTAAAGGAAATAAGTACCTAATTATAGTAATAATAGATTACGCTAATCTTATCTAATTTATAACGACTAAGGAGCTTATAAGACGTTAGGTACGCTAGGTAGAATACCTCGTAGATTTTAACTTTATTATTATATTCTATCTAGGGAAAACAAACCCTATAGACGCTCCTAGTAGATAACCTAACTATATAGTAAATAAGCTACTAGATACTATAAGTCGTAATATCTTTATATAGAGACTTAAGGAGACTATCGGTAAAGGCGCTAGTTACTAAAGGGATCTATAGGATATAATATACCTAGACGTTATAATAACTATAGTACGCGTAGAGATCCCTACTAAGCCTATAATAAATAAACTACTAAGTTAAAAGGAGGTATATAAAGTAGCTAAAGGAGAAACTATATATACCTATAAGCCGCTAGAAACTATAGTAGAACTTATACTTAAGACGTAGGCGAAGAATAAGTTCTATAGGAATACACTTAGAAAGGTACGGGAAACTAGCGACTTTAAATAACCCCCGAAAATACAATAGAGCGTAAGAAGCTAGGATAGACTACTAAGATATAATAACTACGTCTATATTCCTAAAGATGAACCTATAATCTACTAGGAAATTATAAAGATCTACTACGACGATCTATAGGTAGGCTATTATATAAGGAAAAGAACGTTATAGGCTATTAGACGTAAATACTAATAGAAAACCCTTATTAAGGATATATAGGACTACGTCCTTATATACTAGATTTATTAGTCTAATACTATTAAACACTATAAGCTATATAGACTACTCGAACTACTACTAGTACTAGAGAGACTAGGCTAATAGATAAGTATAGACTTTATTATAGGCTTACTACCCTTAAAATAGGAGGGGGAAGGCCTACGACGTAATTATAGTCGTAGTCGATCTATTCTTAAAATATTCCCTCTATATTTCCTATACTAAGGATATAGACTTACTAGAACTCGTAACCTTATTTTACGAAAAGGTTATATCCCTATAGGGAATACTAGAAAACCTCGTTAGTAATAGAGGTACTATCTTTATATTAAAATTCTAAAGCTATTTCTACTACCTCCTCACTATAAGACGTAGACTATTAATAGCCTATTATCTATAAAGCGATAGGTAGATAGAGAGATAAAACTAGAGTATTAAGTATTACCTACGTAATATAGTAAGCTAGTACTAAGATAACTAGATAAAATAGATCTTCTTTATATAGATTATTTATAATACTACTACCTATAGTGTACTAAAAATATCCCTAGCCGAAGTATTACTAGGATTCCGACCGGAACTAAGAACGTTAGTACTAGATAGGAAGATAGAAACCTATAACGATACTAGAAGCTATATAAAGGAAATACTAAAGATATAAGAAACACTAAGAAAGCGCCTATAAAAGTCGAAAACTATAATAAAGCGAGCTTACGATAGGAAATATATAGAAAAGTCTTTTATAATCGGATAATAGGTTATACTAAGAAATAAATATATTAACTTAGGATAACTATATAAAAAGCTAGATAACCGCTATATAGGACCCTTCGCGATAGTAGGTATAGTAAGATAATAGATATACTAACTAATCCTTACGCCGAGATACTATAAAATCTACCCTATATAATATACTTTAATACTAGAGCTATACTACGGAGATCCGCTAAAAGCTTAAGAGCGGCCTAATTCTATACTAGTAGATAACTAACCTAAATAGGAGATTAAGAAGATCTTAGCCGATAACTATAAAAGCGCTAAATACCTTATTAAATAGAGAGGATATAGGTATAAGGAAAATACTTAGGAGCTAAGAGAAAACGTAGAAAATATATTAGTATTTAAGAGTTACTATAATAAGAAGAAAGAACGGCTAGAGTATATAATACGCCGAGAAAGATCTATAAAGAAGAAGTTAATATAATCTAGGATCTACCGCTAGATATATTCTAAGAAGGTTAAAGGACCGGAGTAGGTTTAAGAACGCCGAACCCGATAACTAACTACTAAACGGACCCTTAGAAAATAACTAGCTATACTAGTATACGCTATAGATAGGTTAGGGGAGGATCTAGAATACTAGTAAAGATAAAGAGCGGACGAAAAATATCCTAAAGAGACTATAAATATATAATAAGGATATATAGGAGTTTATTACTAAAAAATAGGATAAAAAGTAATATAGCTAACACTCTCTAAAGGTATAACGTAATAACTACCTATACTAGATAAGTAACCTCTAAGATATACCTATATCCTTACCGCTATATACGTAATCTAGTCTAAGAAGGCGTCTAAAGCTAATCTATAACCCGACTTATTAATAAAACCTATATCGAAGGGGGTAGAGAGGGTAGGAGAGGTAAAGAAAGTATAGCGCGAGGAGGACTAAAAGGCGTAACTATACCTATATAGATATCTCGAGTTAAAGTATTCCGCGTATCTCGAAACCTTTATATAATCGTAAGGAATAATATATTCTATACGGGGGTAGTATAGGGCGCTAAGATATAAGTATTAGCTTAAGCGTTAAGCCTAGAATTAATCTAAGAAACGTTAATAACCGCTAATATAAGCGGAGGTCTATACTTACTATTATATAAGACTACCGCTTCCTTATATAATAGTTATACCGAGGAGTATTAACGTTAATCCTATTAGGCGGAGGGATATATATATACCCCGGGTTATATCTAAGATAGTCTATATAACGCCGATACTACGTACTCGTAGGGTTAGTAGGGGAGATAACGGCCGGAGGGGCGTAATTATTAATAGAGGTATATATCGCACTCGCGACCGGAGGAAAGGGAGCTACTATAATAAGCCGAAATAACCTATAGTAAGAAAAGCGAGACGACGAAAAGCTATAAAAAGAAAAGCGAAGCGACGAAAAGCTATAAGAAGAAAAAGCGAAAGGACGAGGAAGTATAGAAAGAAGAAAGCTATAACTTAAAGAGAGATAAGTGAAAAATGTATAAAGAACTTAGATTATACGCGACGAAGAGAGATAACGCTTAAAGCTCCGAGTCTATCTATACCTTCTACTATAAAGATAAATTACCCTCTTTTAGATAGCTAGATATATATGCTATTTTCGAACCCTCCCTATCTCGACTATAAGAGACCCTCGACCCCCGACCCTTAGCTACGAGGACGTAGCTCTTTAAGGAGGGGGAAAATGTTACGACCCTCTGCTAGGAGAGTACCTTATAGGCTAGATCCCGCCTAGTCCTATAACCCAGAACCCGTGACCTAGTAGGGGTAGCATAACCCCCCGCTAGAGACCGCACTAGGGAGACTAAGTCCTGCCGGGTTAGGTGACCTAGTCCCGTGACCCGCTAAAGGTTATCCATATAGAGACTGCTAGGGGAACTTAGCTCTTTAGCGATTAGTTTATGAATATACTAGCACCCTGCTATTCCTTCACTCTAGTTCTATATTACCTGCTAGGACCCGCTAGCACGCCGGTCCTAACATAGGCCTATTGCGGAGGTCTATACGTGACTGCTAATAGATCGATCGTTTTGGCTCTTGGTGGCCCATCTATGTACCCTGTGGGGCACCGTCGATTGGTGACGGGTAGGTCCGTAACAGGTACTATATATAAGTCGGCGGGTCGTTATCGTATACTCTTCTTTCTTCCCATTCGGATAACTAGAGCAGCCTAAGAATATCTAACCGTGATTAATCTTCTAGTATAACAAAGGGGGAGCGACTATAGTTAAACCGTACTATATTAGGACTACCGAAATATCTAGATATTAGAGCGTACTATAAGTTATTTTCCTATATTATAGGATCTTCGGGATAGGAGATAAAATCGTTATGATATAGGCTCTATACAGTGACGGTGCATAAGTTTGAGCACCCCTTTGCCCCACCCACCACTATTATGTAATATTCTGCCGGTTAAAAACCTCGTGGATTTATTTATTTCTATCTACAGTCATATTGCATGAGTACAGTGACAGTGACAGTGCATAAGTTTGAGCCACCCTATTCTCCCAGCTCTAACCTCACCAATCAAATACCTTCAATTATAGTCGGCATGACTATTCTAGGACGACCTAAGTAGGCGGTGTACCTTTGAGAAAGGCGGTAGCCAAAGGGGTGCTTAAACTTATGCGCTGTCACTGTACACCTCACACCTCTGTGCCCCACCATGAAATACGTAAGAAACAACAGATGCTAGTTACAGTGAGACCTCCAAAGTAATTGCACCCCTAGACCCACGCCTCCTGATTACATAATATACTGCCGTACAAAAACTCCATAAATTCAATGGTACCTAGTACGATGTATACCAGCCCTCACTTTCAATAATAGCCTTTACACGACGGGGCATAGTATCAGATAGATGTTTCAAATGGTCCAGATCTAGCCTCCCCCATGCTATTTGGGCCGTTTCCGCAAATATTGCCTTTGTTTCATCGTTGTTTCTCGTATCTAATAGATCAGGTCGAATCTTATAGATTTCGGCCCTTACCAACCCCGGAGGTTCTCAATTGGATTCAAATCAGGAGACCAAGGAGGCCATTACATAACCTCAATACCCATCTCGCGTAAAGCGTCCCGAACAACGTACGCAGTATGCGTTGGGGCATTATCATGTTGAAAAATGCTACCCTCATTGGCAAGAAGAATAGGGAGATTTCGGGTATATAAATCCCGAATAACGAAACGATTTACGCCTCCACGTTCAGGTTCTGGGCCTCCCAATAGTAGAATCAAGCCGGATCGTCGTTGGGCGCCGGAGAATGCAGCCCAAAACATTTGCTTGACTTGTCTCCCTTTATATGGAAGACCTTGAACTTGGTGAAGTCGGCATTGGTCCTTTCGTCGAATAAAAGTCCATTCTTGACGAACGCCAATCCCACGTTCAACTGTACATTCGTCGGACCAAAAGACTCGGGCCCAGTCCTCCGGTGTAAAGTGTTCATAACGACGGGCCCATCGAAGACGCTTTATAACTTTTTCTTCATCAAGATCGGTCGCCACATACATCTCCACTTCCGATGGTGTTCGGTATTGAAGACTCGTCGGATTGACTCTTTTTTGACTGTGTAAGAGATCTCAGCAAGTAGATCTTCATAGGTAATCTTTGGATTCTCAATAATAACGTCAAAGGAGGGACTTTTTCAGTTGAATCCAGGATTGTTGGCCGAACAGAGCGTGGTTTCGAAACACCGGCCGTTCTCTCTGGTTCCTTTTTAAGAGACCGACTACGGGCACACTGTTTTTACTACCGGCACACTATTGACTAACCCGTTTTGGGATATTTCCCGCTGGCCATAATTTATTCATAGACTGTCGTATTTAATATGGTACTCCCTTAGTATTTCGGACAGTACCCGAATCTTATCAGGGCACCCTATCGCGAATGTAGAATCTTGCACGCCATCTATACTATCATGCAAAAACGAAGCTATTCCTAGATGCTGATTTGATCGAGTTTTTTCCTACTGAAAAGGGGTTTGGTGTAAAAATGAAGCTATTCCTAGATGCTGATTTGATCGAGTTTTTTCCTACTGAAAAGGGGTTTGGTGCAAAAATGAGGCTATTCCTAGATGCTGATTTAATCGAGTTTTTTCCTACTGAAAAGGGGTTTGGTGCAAAAATGAAGCTATTCCTAGATACTGATTTGATCGAGTTTTTTCCTACTGAAAAGGGGTTTGGTGCAAAAATAAGGCTATTCCTAGATGCTGATTTGATCGAGTTCTAGTGCAAAAATGTTACGACCCTCTGCTAGGAGAGTGCCTTATAGGCTAGATCCCGCCTGGTCCTATGACCTAGAACCCGTGACCCAGCAGGGGTAGCATGACCCCCCGCCAGAGACCGCACTAGGGAGACTAAGTCCTACTAGGTCAGGTGACCTAGTCCCGTGACCCGCCAAAGGTCATCCATATAGAGACTGCTAGGGGAACTTAGCTCTTTAGCGATTAGTTTACGAATATACTAATACCCTACTATTCCTTCACTCTAGTTCTATATTACCTACTAGGACCCGCTAGTACGCCGGTCCTAATATTCTAATCGCTAAATCTTAATTAAACTAGACCGTTAGAATACGCAATATCGACGACTCGACGCACGAGCGACCGCCTAAGGGGAACCTTAGCCCCGATCGCGGAAACGAACGACGTCCCGGGACCCCTATAACCCCTACTAGAAGAGGTAGAGATATAAGGAGTCGACGATAACCCTTAGGGAGGAAACCCGCCGGATCCGATAACCCCGACCGAGATAGACGAGGAGGCGGAACTCTAAGAGTTAGAGACCCTTAAAAGACGTCTAGCTCTAGTAAAGGAGAAAAATAGGATCCGCGCGGAGCTATAGGACGAAGAAGAAAACGTAGTAATCCTATAGGTAAGAATATAAAGATCTAGAATCTATTAGGGTTTACTAGATAGTACTACTAGCTAAACTACCTACTAACTACCTAATACTACCTATACGAACTCGATTATATCGTAAGGAAGTACCGGAGGCTACCTATCCTATTAGAAGGAAGTAAGGGAACTATATATACCTTATAATATAATAATATATAGAACTAAGAGTTCGGGCGAATATAATCTCTTTAAGTCGAACTAAGAAGCCTTCTAAAATAGATACCCTAACTAGTTCGCTAACGACGTATATAAGGTAGACCGAGTAACTAAGTTCCTAGCGCCGAAGGTTAATATAACGTAGATAGAATACCGTAGGAATAATCTAGGTATAACGTTTACTTAGTTAGTCTTCGAAATATAGGCGCTCGCTTAGGTTACCGACCCCGTTAAAATATAGCGAGAAGCTAAATATAACTAATAGTAGATAATATAAGCTAAGTACTAGGATATATACTAATATACCCTAAAGCTTACCGGACTCTATAATCGCCTAAAAGATATATTAACTAGATAGATAAGGATCGACCGTTTAGAGATAGGTATTATTAAGGAGGTACGAGATAAAGTAAGGAGGTTTATAGCCCCCGCTATAGATTAATAGGACGACTAAGTAGCTTTCTATAACTAAATTAAGAAAGTAATACTAAATAGGATATTATACCTTAGGGAGGCTAGAAAGATAACGCCGAGAAATACTATAGACTCGTAAGGATCTAGTAGAAGACCCTTTAAGGGAAATAGCGCCTTCCCCGTATAGTAAGCTATAGCTATTACGGAGGGTAGAAAAGCTACTATAGGGTCTAAATAAGACTAGAGTAGAGATAGTAAATTCTATAACTTCTATAGTAAGCCGGGCCACTATACAAAGGACTACCGTAAGAAAGCTATAGTAAACGCTATAGCTATAGAAGAGTTAAAAAAATAAACGACCCTATACTATAGACTCCCGTAGTATTAGGGATAGTTCTCTTCGGAGAACGTAAGAGAGTATACCGAGTACTCGTCTATAACGCACTAATATTAAATATTAAGATTAGAGCCCTAATAGGGGTAGCTAAGACACTAATAGATAGTAGCGTAATCTAGAGCTTCGTAAGCTAGAAATAGGTAAAAGAGAATCTAGAAGAGACGTATATAATAAGTACTTACCTAGTAGAAACTATAGACGGGTATAAGATCCCTTTATATAAAAGCTAAGAAGTATAGCTTAGCCTAATAGACCGGAATAGAACCTATAGAGTTATTAAAATAACCTACGAAGCCGTAGATATAATAATCTATAATATAATCTTAAGAATAGATTAGCTTAGACTAATAAATCCGGATATTAACTAGGTAACTAGTAAGTAAGCGTATAGGAATATAGCCCCGCTAAAGGTTAAAACCCTCCTACTAGAAGACTTTAAGGAAGAAGTAAGACTATAAAGTATATTTAGAGAACTACGCTTAGACGTTAATAAGGTTACTAGGGAGTTTATAGTAATACTAAGGGTAATATAAAGTTCGGATAGGACCTTCTATCTAGTATAACCTTTAACTAAACTCCCGCTAGAATACTAAGATCTAGCTATTATAGCGAGTAAAGAAGATACTATAGCCCTTCTAATCTACGTAGAGTATAATTATATAATTAAGCTAATACCGGGTAAGATACCCCTTTAGAGGCTAATATATATACTATTTACTAAGGAGTTAGAAGTCCTCCGCTAGTATATTAAGGAGAACCTTAAAAAAGGCTAGATCTAACACTTAAAGAGTTAATCGGGTATACCTATCCTCTTTATACTAAAGAAAGACGGTAAGCTTAGACTCTATATAGATTATAGAGGGTTAAACGCGATTACTATTAAGAACCGCTACCCTCTACTACTAATTAATAACTCTCTAGTAAGATTATTAGGAGTCTAGATCTATACTAAGCTAGATCTATAAGACGCCTACTATAGGATCTATATAAAATAAAGAGATAAGTAGAAGATAGCGTTTAGATACCGCTACGGATATTTCGAATATATAGTAATACCGTTTAGACTCGCTAATACTCCCGCTACTTTCTAGGCGTACGTTAATAGAGCCTTAGTAGGACTTATTAACGTTTACCTAGTAGTATATCTTAATAATATACTAATCTTCTCGAAGGATAAGGAGACCTATATATACTACGTCCGAGAAGTACTAGAACGCCTAATTAAGTAGAGATTATTTATTAAACCTAATAAGTATACGTTCTACGTAGAGAGGGTTAACTTCTTAGGCTTTATCGTCTCCCGCTATAGAGTTACTATAGACCCTACCTAAGTAGAGATAATAAGCTAATAGCTAAAGCCGACCTATATCTTCGACGTATAGTAGTTTATAGGCTTCGCTAACTTCTACCGATATTTTATTAGGAAATAGTCGATAATTAGCGCCCCCCTTAACGATCTAATTAAGGGGCTAGATATATAAAAGAAGGGAAGAAATAAGCGCTAGGAAGGGTTCGTCTTTATAGAAGAAGCGCGAGAAGCTTTTAAAAGGACTAAGACCGCTTTCTAGACTACGCTAATACTCGTATACTTCGATACTACGTTAAAAACTATAATAGAAACGGACGCGTTAAGAGCCGCTATCTATATAATTATATTATAACTCTATAAAGATAGATATTAGTACCCTATCGCTTTCTACTTCCGGAAGATACTAATAGTAGAGAGAAATTACTAGGTTAATAACTAGAAAATACTAGTAATCTTTATAGGGTTTAAGAAATAGCGCTACTTTCTTAAAGGAAATAAGTACCTAATCGTAGTAATAACGGACTATACTAATCTTATCTAGTTTATAACGACTAAGGAGCTTATAAGACACTAGGTATACTAGGTAGAATACCTCGTAGGTTTTAACTTCGTTATTATATTCCACTCGGGGAAAATAAACCCCGTAGACGCTCCTAGTAGATAACCCGACTATATAGTAGATAAGCTACCGGACGCTACGAGTTATAATATCTTTATATAGAGACTCGGGAAGACTATCGGTAAAGGCGCTATCTACTAAAGGGATCTATAGGATACGATATACCTAGGCGCTATAATAATAATAGTATACGTAGAGATCCCTATTAAGCCCGCGATAAATAGACTACTAAGTTAAAAGGAGGTACGCGAAGTAGCGAAAGGAGAAACTATATATACCTATAAGCCGCTAGAAACTATAGTAGAACTTATACTTAAGATATAGGCGAAGAATAAGTTCTATAGGAATACGCTTAAAAGGGTATAGGAAACCGGCGACTTCGAATAACCCCTAAAGATATAGTAGAGCGTAAGGAGCTAGGATAGACTACTAAGATATAATAACTATATCTATATTCCCGAAGGCGAACCTATAATCTACTAGGAAATTATAAGGATCTACTATAACGATCTATAGGTAGGCTATTATATAAAGAAAAGGACACTATAGGCTATTAGACGTAAATACTAGTAGAAAAGCCTTATTAAGGATATATAGGACTATATCCTTATATACTAAGTATACTAGTCTAATACTATTAAACGCTATAAGCTATATAGACTACTCGAACCACTACTAGTACTAAAGAGACTAGACTAATAGATAAGCGTAGACTTTATTATAGGCCTACTACCCTTAAAATAGGAGGGGAAGGCCTATAACGTAATTATAGTTATAGTCGATCTATTCTTAAAATATTCCCTTTATATTTCCTATACTAAGGACGTAGACTCGCTAGAACTTATAACCTTATTTTACGAAAAGGTTATATCCCTATAGAGAATACTAAAAAAACCTCGTTAGTGATAGAGGTACTATCTTTATATTAAAATTCTAGAGCTATTTCTACTACCTCTTCGCTATAAGATATAGACTATTAACGGCCTATTACCTATAAACTAATAGG